CCGCCATGAACGGTGACCCCCCATATATGGCGGCCCCCCACGCACATGCATGCATTGGGGGGGGCCATATATGACCCCAATTCACATATCTCAATGAGCAATCACAAACCAAAATTCGATACTTGTAAAATGCCATAAGATTGATTTTGTTGTGATCCAGGGAAAAATTCAATCCCAAATTGCACAACCAACCTTCAGCTGCCTTCAATCCCCCACCTTCTGCTGCCTTCAATCCCCCACCTTCCCCCGCCTTCAATCCCCCACCTTCTGCTGTCGAGCGCATCGGTCCGGCACCGCACGAAGCAGCGCGGGACCCTCCCGGCCGCGTCACGCAGGAGTTGGTCTACACCTTCCGCGAAAATATACATGGAGCTTCCGCAAGCCCTCCGGCCGAGTGGGCCAGCCATACCTCTCGCGAACCCCTACGACAGGATAGCGCCTACGTGAGACACGACTTACCTCCACCTTGCGGGAGTTGTCACCTCCCTTCGGTGGGCGCATCCCCATCGAGCTACCAGTCCACAATACGAAAGCTACTCAGTTGCAATCGCAGAGGTGGACCAGCCGAGGGCGTTTTTCGTTCGCTGTAGCATAGGGGGTACGCATGGTACTACGCCTCTATCGAACCTGCACGTGAATCGACGCATTGGGGGGCTGATGTTCCAATCGCGACTCGTCATCGGTCGACTAGGACGCATCCCTCTTCTCCGCGCAGTACACCACGCTAAAGCAAAATTAAAATAACTCACATACTCACACACACATAAGCAAACAAAAGCAACACGCTCCTAGTCCCTTTGGTACCTGACCCATAACTTTTCAATGTGGAAATCGAGTACGCGACGCGCGCGAGACTTAGTATAAAACTGCGTAGTCGTAGGGTCTTCTCATATCGACTAGCAATGCAAACGTACGCAAGCGGTCGCAAAGATGACGTACTTTGTAGTACCCATAATCATGTGGTCCTTGTTAATAATCAGGCGCCACTTTCGACACTCAGGTGCCGGCTGACACGCCTTGAGGGGTTAATCTCTAAGCGCTAGACAACCGCCAAACGTGGTTGAAGACCACACCTTCTTCTGCACCCTGTGCAAAGTGGGTGGTACATAGGTTCATACCTGTAGTGGCAGTCGTCTCTTATCGTCCTGGAGGTGAGCTCCATCATCCAAGGTCTGGACAGAGGTCAAGGGATTTGACTTTGACGGCTGTCGCGGACAAGTCCAACCATAAAAACTCTAAAAAAGAAGAGGCGAAAAGGGAGACTCCCTTTTCTCTCAAGACAAAATCTGGATAATCCTCGTACAGTATCACAGTAGGTCGTGCGAACACTCAAGACACACTATAAATATATAAGGGTTAATTATATAGGACGATCACTTCTCACAGTCGCATTGGGACTCCTGTCAGTCGTATATGTATGTAATCGCAGACAGTCACATCCAGAGTCCGAACCACAAACATACATGCAATCACATCGAAGATTCAACCAAAAGTTCATGCACTACACGGAGTCAACTTCAACCATTCTCTGTACCCATACCCCTTGCTTTAGCCATACAAACCTCATCCTCTGCGCAACCTCCCCGTACTAAAAATACTCAGTATCTTTGTTAAATGACCATTCAATAAAGTCCGGGTAAAAACACAACGAAACAAATCAAACCACACGATTAAAGCCTTTAGGTTGAGTGGCAGGAGTGGATTGGAGTAGAGTCGTAAACCGACGAATCGGCAACCGACCAGTTATCAGTGATAACAGATAATGACCCTCAAAGGGTCAAGAATGAATCTAATCCTGATTTTGAATCAGACAATCAAAAGGACCTATAACACATGACAGGCCAATCCCCACGCTCAAATCTATGAGTCCATGGAAGATAATCCCCTTATCATAATCTCACTTGAATTACCTTGATTAGCTTTGTCTAAGTCTACCCCTAACTTGAAATAAGGGCCTAAAGGAACATAGACTATGACAGAATCTCTTCTATCCAGGGTGAAATGCCAAGGTCGCCTACTGTCAAAATATAGTATAATTCCTCTGAATTAAGAAAATTTCGGCAGCGCTTCCGTAGGAAAAATGCCTTTTCAAAATTTATATAAACTCAGATATGAAAAATAGAAATAATCTCCAACTTTGGAAAGTCAAGTTTTGTCAAACTCCTTGAATTAGTAAAAATTTTGGCAGCACTCCCTTTAGAAAGAGAAGCTTCCCAGATTTATATTAAATCAGATTTGAACTCAAAAGACAATCTTGAGTTTAATTGAGACAAAATTCAACTATCTCTTTAGTTTTACAGAAATTTCGGCAGCACTCCCTCTACAAAAGTGCTATTCCAAAATTTATACAAGGCTAAGTTCAGAATTTGAAACTAACTTTGACTTCTCAAAGTCCAATTTTGTCTGACTCCTTGAATTAACAAAAAATTGGGCAGCACTCCCTTTAGAAAAGAAGACTTTCCAGATTTTTATGAAGTCAGATAGAAAGAAAAGACAAGCTGAACTTTAAAAGACAAAATTTTGACTAACTCCTTGGATTTATAGAAATTTCGGCAGCGCTTCCCGTAGAGAAAGTGACTTGCCAATATTTGTATAAAGCCAAGTATAAAAAATGATCCCAGAAAATGCGAAAATTGACCTAAGTAAAAAAATTAACTCAGAAAATGCAGAAATTGAAACCAACTCCTATCGCTCTAGCACGTGGCGAACAACTAAAGCAACTACCTATCAAACTGAATCTCAGACTAAGTAGTCATCTCACTCAGCCACATCCAGACCAAACCACAAAGGTAAGTACTATCACCAACCCGAAGTGATTTCACATAAGATAGTTCATGAATCTTTAACTGATTTAACCCTCATACCCAGCTTACATATGGCATGATGCTGGACCATTCGGCTTGGAAACAATGCCCAACGTGCTTTAAGATATACACGAACATGTTGAACAACCACTTCCCTTTTCTTTGGGCATATGACTAGACCATTCGGCTTGGAAACAATGCCTAGTCGCCCTGAACTGTTTAATATCCAAAATTTAGTAGTTTTCTGACTTTGTCTATAAAAAAAAAGCAAATATGGGCAGGGGACTAAACCATTCGGCCTGGAAACAATGTTCAGCTTGCCCAGGCTATTTCCAATTATAGTTCGTACTTTCCCCTCTCTTCGTAGTGATATGGCTTACCGCTAGACCATTCGACTTGGAAACAATGCCCAGCTGCCAGTTCACATGCAAATATATAAGTAAAATACTTCCTTTTTATACTCAGTTTATACTTCTGTGTGCGGTTTTCAGGATAAACCATTCTTCTTAGAAACAATGCATAGCCTTAGACCAAAAATCCTCCCTCAGAATAAAACAAGAACAACCCTTTCAATCAGGCAAACCCTCTCAAATAAACACAGCACCTAGGCCATTCGACTTGGAAACAATGTCTGACCCTTCAAAAAACAACCAAATAAAACATAGCCCTGGGTCATTCTTCTTAGAAACAATGCCCAGGCTTTGTTTAACCCAGTCAGACACATGCAAAACTGCCTTCCTCCCACTTTCCCCCAGTTCATCCCCTTTTCTACTTTCAGTTAAAATAAAGGTGAAACTTAAACTTCACTCTCATATATTCCTTCCATTTGGTCTGATTAGATCATGAAAAAGAAAGAAAAGTCATAGGGGCAATCTCATGCATACATCAGTCAAACTACAAGGAGATAGGCAAACATGGACATAGTGGTTCATACAGACAGAGATGGTTTACCTGACGGTTCCCTGCCTCCAGAACCTCTCATAGGTTCCGGCAGAGCTCCCGCAATCGGTGGGCTAACTCCCCACAGAGTCTTGCTGCGGTCCTACGGGTTGCAATCCCGCCTGCCGCCTTCCTCTTTGAACAGGATTAGACTGAGATTAAGAAGGACAGATAGAGATAGGTTTGAGACTCTCAGATCCAAGAGGGATGCACTCAAACTCGCGAGAGGGCCTTGATACCTTGACTCGCTTGAGGGCCCCGCAATGGCGGCCAAAATACGCAATAACTTGGTCACACCGAAGTCAACTCACCGGCTGTTAGCTCTTGGGTGACTTTCCCAAACCGTAGCTACTATACGTCACCGTCATGCTTCAGTAGGAATACAATATCAGTCTCTCTATATTGCTTGCCAAGGAGCCGTGCGCACCAGCATAGCAGAAGTAATGTCGTCGTAAGCCAATCATGCGTCGTCAATCGTAAGAGCGCAGCAATCACAACCCTGCCATCCAACAGTCGTAACGGTCGTTCAAAACGGGGAAAAACATAGCTCGCAACTCCAATGATCCGCTTGATGCGCCACGCACCGCCCAACAGATAAATCAGAGCTCTCGCAGCAAACCCCGATAGTGTGTTCAGTAATGCATCTACTTGGATGTTCAACACTACGCACAACAGTCTGTAGTAGCACTATAGTAGGCAAGGGCGAGACAAAGTGCCTTGAGAAAATTCCACCAAGCCTAACTTTATGGAACAGTCATGACGAACCCAGTGACTCCCGTCGTACGACACTGCAGCAACCCGCATGGTCAGTTTTCACAGCCTTGCCGTTCCAAAAGAAGGAAGATAACAGGAGGGCACCATAATTTGGTGATACCTTTTGAGAACCAAGAGAATTAAACTTGTGTCGTGATTCGAAAAGGGATAGCAATGCAAACCAAAGTAAAGAAAATATGCTCAACGGGGATGTCAAGGGGGCCGTTGGGGAAAGGCTAAAGGGGGCTACAGAAAAGCTCGCCGGGGACGGTGAGAATTGGGGTGTGGGTTGATTGTCGGGCGGCTGCCTACCAGCCGAATACTCCCTTTGCAACATAAGAAACTGGTTTTTGGTTGTTTTTTCTTATTTATTTTATTTTTTTTTGCATGTTTCGTTTGTATGAATGTATGTGGCTGAAGGGGGGTGAGGGAACTTGGGTATTTTTTATTGGTTAATATTAACTGAGGCAAGCGGGGCAAACGGCCCGAATATGGTTGCAAGCG